TCAGACAATCTATCAAAACTTCTAAGTTGACTAACAATGAGGGCGAGTATGAGGCCATGATTGCAGGTCTCGAGCTAGCTAAAAGCTTGGGGGCAGAAGTCATTGAAGCCAAGTGTGACTCTTTATTGGTGGTGAACCAAGTAAGCAAAAGCTTCGAAGTTCGAGAGGATAGAATGCAAAGGTATTTGGACAAGCTACAAGTGACTTTGCACCACTTCAAGGAGTGGACTCTGGATCACGTACCTCGAGAACAAAATAATGATACTGATGCACTTGCAAATTTGGGATCATCAGTCAAGGAAGATGATATTATATCGGGGACTGTCATCCAGTTATCGAGATCTGTGGTCGAGGAGGGTCATGCCGAGATAAACTCTAATAGCTTTACTTGGGATTGGAGGAATAAATATATCAAATATCTAAAGAATGAAAAGCTTCCATCGGACCCTAAAGGGTCGAGGGATCTACGAACCAAAACTGTCTGATTCACGTTGGATGAAGATGAAACATTATACAGAAGGACGTTCGATGGACCATTGGCAGTATGTTTGGGGCCGGGAGACATCGATTATGTTTTACGAGAGATTCATGAAGGCACTTGTGGGAACCACTTTGGCGCTGAATCTTTGATTTGCAAGATCATTAGAGCAGGGTACTACTGGGATAACATTGAAAAAGACACTAAGGAATTTGTTCGAAAATGTGATAAATATCAAAGGTTTTCACCAATGATTCATTAGCCTGGGGAACAACTTCATTCAATCCTATCCCCATGGCCATTCATGAAATGGGGAATGGATATCGTAGGTCCTCTACCAATGGCCCCATGTAAAGCTAAATTCATTTTGTTTATGACTGACTACTTTTCTAAATGGGTGAAAGCACAGACCTTCAAGAAGGTTAGAGAAAAAGAAGTTATAGACTTCATCTGAGACGACATCGTGTGTCAATTGGGGATAACTACTGAAATCGTATACGACAATGGAAAGCAATTCATTGGCAGCAAAGTAATGGGGTTCTTCAAGGAACATAAAATAAAAAGGATCTTATCAACGTTGTATCACCCAAGTGGAAACAGAGAGGTCGAATCGGCGAACAAGACTATCATTCAAAACTTAAAGAAAAGGTTGAACGACACTAAAGGGAAATGGAGAGAAGTTCTACCCGAAGTTCTTTGGGCGTATCGAATGACATCAAAGTCTAGCACGGGGGCAACACCGTTCTCCTTAGTATATGGCTCCAAAGCCAGTCGGGGAACCTAGCACCAGATTTCGACATGCAACGGAGGAATCAAATCACGAGGCCATGAATACTAGCCTCGAACTACTGGATGAAAAACTTGAAGTTGCGCTTGTTCAGATGGCTGCACATAAGCAAAGAATCGAGAGATATTACAATAGAAGAGCCAATCTTGGACACTTTGGAATCGGGGACTTAGTTATAAGGAAAGTCACCCTCAATACTCGAGACCCAAACAAAGGGAAACTAGGCCCAAATTGGGAAGGATCATATCGAGTCATCAAAGTCATCGGAAAAGGATCTTACAAACTTGGCACGATGGAAGGCAAACAATTGCAGAACAATTGGAACGTATCACTACTCAAATGATATTATTGCTGAGGTATGACTCTCTCCCTTTTCCATTTGTATTTAGTACTAACTTATTGTAGGTGTTCGATCGAGGCATTCAGGAAACTCTTCAGCCCGAAAATCTTAGGTTTTAAAGCACACGTTGCACTCTTTTTCCCTTAAATCTGTTTTTATCCCGAATGGATTTTTTGGCAAGGTTTTTAACGAGGTAACAATTATGTGCTACCTAAGAAAAATTCAACAGTATTCAAGGCTTCTTTTCAATCAACCTCGAATATTGGGGGAATCACCCTTGGGGGTTATATTTTCAAGGAAAATACTTCCTGTCAAAGGGTATCGATAGTAAAACCTTGTAATGGGTCAAATGGTCGAATGAACCGTGTCCATATAGAATAGTCGAGCTCCGATAGCAAAACATGTATGTATTAATTATTCAAAGAAGCATTCTTTCTATATCAAACTCTTTGTGTCTTAAAGAAATTTGCTACTATACGAGCTCCATACTTGTGATTTTGTGAGAAATGACTCAAAGGTCAAACACAAATACACCTCAAACACTTGGGGATTGTCATTGATAGTCAACCATTCGAGTTATATAAACTCGAATTCATAAGACCTCAAAGAGGCACCCCTCGACACATAGGCTAAGGCCATTGTACTCGGGGACTGACATTTCGAACAAGTTCAAAATGTTATTGGGGAATAAGTCCAATAGACATACCAGAAGTCTACGGCTATATTGAAGGCTACGGCCGAAATAACGCGCTCGAAGGCGTCCGAATCCCGCAATAAACAATAGACCTTAAAATACTTTGAAAAACCCGATTAAAAGGCTATTCCCGACAAAATGATTAAAATAGGGGTTTCAATAAAATCAGTCGTCGTAAAATCTTAAGAGGTATCAAATTACCTTAACATAACCGTGCTCAAGCACAAAAAGCAAAGAGGTCTCAATCGACATCAGACCCTCAAAAAACCCAATGGGTAAAAACACATGCTAAGGCATAAAGAAATTTTTACTAAGTCTTTTAAGCCGAAAAGGGGGAAATAATAGCTCTTTTAGAGGACATAACGGCCCGATCTAAAAGAGTCTAAAGGCCAATACACTTAGGGTTCGAGGCCTTGTTCTCACCCGATCCGAACCCAAGGGTTCGATTACCCTGAGCCCAAATAAAACAATAACTTGATTATGGCTCGGGGGCTCACCATTATTCGGCACAAGTGTCACACCCCAAACCTAGGGTGGCATGGCTGGCACTCGGTGCCATACTGGCCCGAGCGAATCATTTTGTAACTCATTCTTTCTGTGATAATCGTTCGCTAACATGGAAACAACTCGTAGTGCATAACTTTAAGTGGGCGGGCACTATGTCAATGAACCATCGTTCTTTATATAAGAATACATATGGGCCGTCAAGACCTCTGACATACCGTACAAAATGAACTTCTGTCTATAAAGCCTCTATGATTATTTGACATCAAATAGGATAGGGTACCGGCCTACCCATAAGTTTTTGTAGCAAAACACTGACACGATGACTCATAGACTTGGCTGCACTCCGAATGAGGTGGAGTCTTATCGATCCTTCGTTGAGTGCCAATCTCGTCTACTACGAGAGCTCGTCAAAGTGATTATCTATACCTGCAGGCATGAATGCAGCGTCCCTAACAAAAGGATGTCAGTACGAATAATGTACTGAGTATGTAAGACAGAACTGAAACATAACAATAAGTCAACATTAATTAAAGACATATAAGAATCAACATGAATCTCTGAAGTGCCACCGTGTATGCATACTTATTATACTTACGTACTTATATATATTGAGGCTATCTCTATTATTCATATCGTATGATGCATGACTGCTCAACTGATCAGTGGTAACTGCTAGACCGACCTTCGCACAGTGATAAATTTGTGACTGCCCAATCGATGGTAAATAATGATACATAACTGCCCAACCGGTGGTGGCTGCCCCACCGGCCGTAGCCCGGTGGTAAATGCATGTCTGCCTAATCTGTCGTAGCATGGTGGTAAACATATAAGTGCCCAACCGGCCATAGCACGATGATAAATAAATATGCATAACTGCCCAACCGGCCGTAGCACGGTGGTAAATATGTAACTGCCCAACCGGCCGGAGCTCGGTGGTAATTGCATATGCATGTATTACTATATTATAAACATTAACATCTTTATCAAATACCTCAATAGGGAACTATATACATACTTAGACATGCTTGAATATCACTTTACGGGAATGAATAACATAGACATCCTTAACTGTTAAGAGTACAACCACTTATGGAATATTATTATGTTTACGTATCGTTTCTTGAATCATGCCAAAAACAGAAGGGATAGTCTTAACATACCTGAGTCGATTCTCTTTATTTGGATTTCTTTAGCGTGTTCGAATCTTCTTTATCCGTGCTTTTTTTTTTCAGACTCCTCCTTTGGCCTAAATTTCCATTAAAGAGAGCTGAAAGCTCCAGCTAGATGAACAGTAGTTCTTTGATTAATTGAGTTGTTGAAAGATTTTTAATATTATTAAGCAATGTCAATAAGTATCTGCCTCTACTTAACATGTTAATGCTATAATAAGATCTAAACATGCGTAAACTTAAGTAAATGTGAGCTTGAATTAAGCTCTTTTAGAAAATGACGTTAAAGTATGGAATGTTATGATAAATATCACATTATGGTGGATGTCTACTCTTCTTCCATGATCTTCATCTCAAATGCTTAATGAGATATTCAATGACATATTTTGTATGTTCAATGACATATTCCATGACATATTTTCTTCACTTTTTATGCATATATAAAGGTCTTGCAATAGACAGGAAAATACACACAATTGAAGAAGAAATAAGAATCTCTCTTCCTCTCTTTCTCTCTATATCTATTAGTTTGTTTTTGCTTGTTCTATATTGTTATTTTGGGTTATATTTTATAACACGTTATCAGCACGAGGCTCTACCATCTCAAGAAGATCTTTGAGAAAATTAAGGTATAATTTTTCTCAAATTTGTATTTTTTAAAGTATGTCTGATATTATGAAAAGAAAGTTCGCTGCCCTTGAAATTTCGGGCAAGAACTATATGACATGGGTATTGGATGCTGAAATCCATTTAGATGCAATGGGTCTTGGAGACGCCATTAAAGATAAAGATAAAGCATCTACTCAAGACTGTGCTAAGGCCTTGATTTTCTTGCGCCATCATCTTGATGAAGGGTTGAAAATTGAATAAGTCACAGTGAAAGATCCACTTGTTTTGTGGAATAGTTTAAAGGAAAGATATGACAACTTAAAGTTGGTCACTCTTCCACAAGCACGATATGATTGGGCTCATCTTAGGCTCCAAGACTTTAAGTCTGTTTCTAAATATAATTCTGCTATGTTTAGAATTACTTCTAAATTGAAACTTTGTGGAGATAATATCAGTGACTATGATATGCTTGAAAAAACGTTTACAGCGTTTCATGTCTCCAATATGGTCTTGCAACAGCAGTACCAAGAGAAAGGCTTCACAAAGTACTCTCAGTTGATTTCTCTTCTACTTGTGGTTGAACGAAACAATGAATTGCTTATGAGAAATCACGAAAATCGACCCACTAGGTCTACACCATTTCCTAAAGAGGATGAGGTGTATTCCCATTATGCTAATCGTGGGAAAGGTCGTGGTCATATTCGTGGTCGTGGTCGTGGCCATATCCAAGGAAGAAAATTTCCTGGTGTTAATCATCCTCCACCGAAAAATAACTTCCAAAAATGGAAAGGGAAAGATGAGAAGCGAAACGCAGAGGGTTCAGAAATTAAATGATATCGTTGCGGTGGAAAAGGGCATTGGGCAAAAATTTGTCGCATACCAAAACATTTGGTTGAGCTTTATCAAGCATCTCTGAAGAATAAAGGCCCTGAAGCCAATTTTGTCTATGACAATAAATTTGACATCACCCACTTGGATGTGGCAGATATTTTTGAACACCCTGATGAAAAATAAACCACTTGATCGGTGATGGATCTGTGGTTAGAGATGATTGAGCAATTTAATTTTTATGCTTTCCTACTCGTAGTATGTAATGAATAAACATCTCGTAATTTTTATTGCACTTTATAATTCTTCTTATATAGTTCTTAAGAATATTTTTATTTCCGAAATTTTATAAATTTCACAAACAAGGAGTAATATCCTATTAATTAGTATTCTAGTCTCAGTGATCTTTTAACAATTTTAACTTTCCTTTACGTTGCTTTAATTCTCTTTAAGAAAAGGTTTACAAGCACCCTGGAATAACTTTTGTTACTTCACCCTCAATTTTTTTTATGAGTATGTTCTTTTCTTACACGGATCAATTATTTTTCATATAATGTGTAGGAAAATGCAAATAATTTATACGTGTAAATAAATTTATTGTAGTTGTATTAGTCATGTGTACTTGTATTATTTTTGCGTAATTATTTGTATAATAATTAGAATTTGCCAGAAAATGCATTAAAGGCTTATATTCAATTATTGGTTTAACTTTATTTCTTTTCCATTTTTCTCTAAAAAACTAATATTTATTCATATACTTCTTTTGTATGTCAAACTACGGGAAGAAAATATGGATATATTTCAAAGCAAGCTTGGATCAAAGTTCAATTGTAAAAATATTTGCTTAATTGATTCATGTACGACACATACAATATTCAAAGAGAAGAAATATTTCTCTCATTTAAGTATGTATAGGGCAGATATTACTACAATTTCTGGTAGTAGTAATCTAATTGAAGGCTCTGGGAGCTACTATAACTCTGCTTATGGGAACAATAATTATCATAGAGAATGCAATGTTCTCCTCCAAGTCCAAGAGGAACTTGTTGAGTTTTAAAGATATCCGCAAAAATGGATTTCATATTGAGACAATAGATGAGAATAATATGGAATATCTCATCGTTACCAAGAATGTCTCTGGCCAGAAAAGAATTATTGAGAAGTTCCCATCTTTATCTTGTGGCCTGTATTGGACAAAAATTAGTGCAATTGAGGCACATTCTACCTTAAACCAAAAGGTTATTGCTTCAAATACTTTTGTACTTTGGCATGATCGATTAGGCCATCCTGGATCAATTATGATAAGACGAATCATAGAAAACTCAAATGGGCATCCATTAAAGAATTTGAAAATTCTTTTAAATAATGAATTTTCTTGCACTTCTTGTTATCAAGGCAAGTTAATTATAAGACTATCACCGACAAAGGTTGGGATTGAGTCCCCTGTATTTTGGAACGTATACAAGGGGACATTTGTGGACCTATTCACCCACCTAGTGGGTCGTTTAGATATTTTATGGGTTTAATAGATGCATCTTCTAGATGGTCTCATGTATGCCTATTGTCATCTCGCAACCTCGCGTTTGCAAAATTAATGGCACAAATAATCTGATTACGGGCACAATTTTTCGATTATCCAATTAAGCCTATTAGACTTGATAATGCTGCTGAGTTTTCATCCCAAGTATTTAATGATTATTGCTTATCAATTGGGATAAAAGTGGAACATCATGTAGCTCATGTTCACACTCAAAATGGCCTTGCAGAGTCTTTAATTAAACGTCTGCAATTGATAGTAAGATTGTTACTCATGAAAACGAAGTTGCCCACTTCTGTTTGGGGTCATGCCATTTTCCATGCAGCACTGCTAATTCGTCTCAGACCGACAAACTATCACAAATATTCCCTGTTGCAATTAGTTTTGGGTCATGAACCTAATATATCTCATCTAAGAATTTTTGGATGCGCTGTATATGTGCCTGTAGCACCCCCATATCGCACCAAGATGGGTCCCCAAAGAAGGTTAGGAATATATGTTGGGTTTGAATCGCCCTCCATTATTCGCTACCTTGAAACATTAACGGGAGATTTGTTCACTGCTTGATTTGCAGATTGTCGATTCGATGAGGCATTCTTCCCAAAATTAGGGGGAGAAATTAGTGAAACCAAACGTGAAATTTTGTGGAAAAATACATCATTCTCTTCATCTTGATCTACATGCCTCTATTTGTAACACAGAGGTGCAAAATATTATCCATTTGTAGAAAATAGCAAATCAAATGCCAAATGCATTTACGGATCTGAAAAGGATAACAAAATCACATATCCCTGCAGAGAATGTTCCAATCCGTATTGATGTCCCTATTGGATAATCTTCTAGTATCATAGCTAATAAGTCAAAAGCACGCCTAAAACGTGGCAGACCATTAGGTTCTAAGGATCGAAATCCTAGAAAAAGGAAAACAAATGATCAAGATGACACTACGAAAGAGTCTCATAATGAAATTCACGATTTAACCAATCCTGAGATTCATGAGGAAATCAATGAGCCTGAGACTCAAGAAAATAAGGAACTATCAATAAATCCAATCTATATTGAGACAAATTTGAATCGAATGGATATAGTGGTGGATTACATCTTTGCATATAATGTTGCATCTAGCATTATGCAAGAAAGTGAGGATCTTGAACCTCAATCTGTTGGAGAATGTCGACAAAGACTTGATTGGCCAAAATGGCAAGAAGCAATCCAATTAGAGTTAAGTTCACTTGCAAAACGTGAAGTTTTTGGGCCTGTAGTCCAAACACCTAATGGTATTAAGCCTGTTGGCTATAAATGGGTCTTTGTACACAAAAGGAATGAGAAAAATGAGGTACAAAGATATAAGGCACACCTTGTTGCACAAGAATTTTCACAAAGGCCTGGTGTCGATTATGAAGAGACATATTCTCCTGT